AAATTATGAAGATATTTTCCTATTGTGTTAGTCCATTCTCACACTGCTAATAAAGACATACGTGAGACTGGGTAATTTATAAGGGAAAGAGGTTTAATTGACTCTCAGTTCTACATGGCTGGGGAGGCCTCATAGTCATAGCAGAATGCAAATCAGGAGCAAAGTCATGTCTTACATGGTGGCAGGCCAGAGCGCATGTGCAGGGGAACTTCTTTTTATAAAACCATCAGATCTTGTGAGAGTTACTTACTTTCAAGAGAAGAGCATGGGAAAGACCCACCCCCATGATTCAATTACCTCCCACTGGGTCCCTCCCATGACATGTGGAAATTATGGGAGCTACAATTTAACATGAGATTTGGCTGCGGACACAGCCAAACCATTTCACCTATATTTTCTTCCAAAAGCTTTAAGGTTTTAGCCTGTATGTCTAGGTCTACGATACTTTATTTTTCTTTTCCTTTTTTTTTTTTTTTGAGATGGAGTCTCGCTCTGTTGCCCAGGCTGGAGTACATTGGCCGATCTCAGCTCACTGCAAGCTCCGCCTCCCGGGTTTATGCCATTCTCCTGCCTCAGCCTCCCGAGTAGCTGGGACTACAGGCACCCGCCACCACACCCGGCTAGTTTTTTGGGGGGTTTTTTTTGTATTTTTTAGTAGAGACGGGGTTTCCTCGTGTTAGCCAGGAGGGTCTCGATCTCCTGACCTCATGTGATCCACTTGTCTGGCCTCCCAAAGTGCTGGGATTATAGGCTTGAGCCACCGTGCCCGGCTGATACTTTATTTCTTTATTTTTTTGAGATAGAGTCTTGCTCTGGCATCCAGGCTGAAGTGTAGGGTTGTGATTATAGCTCTCTGCAGTCTCAAACTATTGGGCTCAAGTGATCCTTCCACCTAAGCCTTTTAAGTAGCTAGTACTACAGGTGCATGACACCACACCTGGGTAATTTTTAACTTTTTTGTAGGGATGGGATCTCACTGTATTGGCCAGCCTGGTCTTGAACTCCTGGCCTGAAGTGATCCTCCTGCCTTGGACTCCCAAAGTTTTGGGTTTATAGGCGTTAGCCATGGCACCCAGGCTATGATACATTTTGAATTAATTTTTATGTATGGTGTGAAGTAAAGGTCAAGGTTTATTTTTAGTTTGCAGAAAACAACGTTTATTTCCCCACTGAATTACCTCAGTACCTTTGTTGGAAATAAATTGACCATGCTTTTACATGTAAGTCTATTTCTAGACTCTTTGGTTCCACTGAACGATGTAACATAATGCTAATTCCACACTGATTTGATAACTGTGTTTTACACATCAGACAGTATAAGTTGTCTCACTTTGTTCTTCTCTTTGTTTTGGCTATTCTAGGACTTTTGCATTTCTGTATAATTTTAGAATAAGCTGGTCAATTTTGAGAAAAAACCATGTTGAGATTTTTATTTGAATTACATTGAATGTATATATCAATTTAGCAAGAACGGATAGTATAACAATATTGAGTATATCTCCATTTATTTAGGTCTTTATTTTTTACATGCAATGTTTTCTAGTTTTCAGTATAAAAGTCTTGCATATCTTTTGTTGAAATACTTCATAAGTATTTTGTACTTTCTGAAGTCATTGTAAATGGCACTGCTTTTTATAGTTTTAATATTAAATGCTGTGTTTAATAATTGTTCCTGGTACATAGAAACATAATTGATTTTTGTATATTGACTTTCTATCCCATGACCTTAGTAAATTTGCTTATAAGTTCCATTAGTTTTTTGGTTGGTTTTTTTTTTTTACAGGTTCTTGGGATTTTCTACATATTCCCTCTCTTGTTTTCTGCACATAAACACAGTTTCATTTTTTGCTTTTTTTTTTTTTTTCGAGACTGAGTCTTGCTCTGTCAACCAGGATAGAGGACGGTGAATGGCGCGATCTTGGCTTACTGTAATATCCACCTCCTGGGTTCAAGCAATTCTTCTGCCTCAGCCTCCTAAGTAGCTGGGATTACAGGCATCTGCCACCACACATAGCTAATTTTTGTATTTTTAGTAGAAATAGGGTTTCACCATGTTGGCCAGGCTGGTCTCGGACTCCTGACCTCATGTGATCCACCTACCTTGGCCTCCCAAAGTGCTGGGATTACAGGCGTGAGCCACCACACTCAGCCTATTTCTTGCTTTACAATCATTACTCCATGGATTGCTTTTTCTTGCTTTATCCCACTGATGTAAACTTAAAAAGCAGAAAAGCAGTTATAAAGAATATGTCTCATATGTGTATATATATTCCTATATATAGTCCTATATATATTCTTATATATATTTTCCTATATATATTCATATATATGTTTTCCTTTTTTTCCATATACATATATTCCTTTTTTCCTGTGTGTGTGTATATATATATATATTCCTTTTTCCCTTTCATATAGGTGTATTTTGGCCTCTGAAAACTTGAGTCTTCTCTGAAGTATTATATGTTCCTCATCTTCATTCTCCAGAATTAGAGACATACCTCTTTCCCATTCTTCTAGTTTCTATAAGGAGGGTTTTTCTCTTAACATTTCTAGCTAGTTGGATAGGTGGGTGGAATTACTTGACTTGTGAGTTGGCTTAGAAACTGGGCATGTGTATCATAGCCCCTTCCCCCACTTAGAAGCAGGGCAGCCTGCAGAAAATGTGTGTTTGAGTGCCCTGAGCCCTGTGGTAAGTTCAGTGTTATAGGCTCTGTCCCTGTAGGAAGAGGCTGTGGTAGTTCAGTTCTTTTTGGAATAGGTAGGTATATCTGATTACTTTGGGGTTCATTTAGTAGAGTCTATAGGCTGTCATCCTAAGTAGCATACTGTAACTTAACATTTTACAGCTCAGATCATATACTGACTGGCATTTGTTCTAATCCTTGTTTTATGCCTCAGTTTGTTTAGAACTCAGATGAAAAAGAGGGGTGGCTTTATTGGAACAAGACTCTCAAAGTCAGTACTTCCCTATTGTATTGCCCAGTATTGCCTAAGGCACCATCCTCTGTTTATCTAAAGACTTTTTCTCAATCATGGATGTACCTTAGGATAATTTGAGGGGCTTTAAAAACATACCAAGGCCCAAGGCCCTAGCCTCTCCCCAGTAAATTAAATCAAAATGTAGGGGTTAGGACCAGACATACTATTTTTAAAAAAGTTGTCTAGATTCTAATGAACAGGAAGATCTGAGAACCACCCATCTAACCCATTTAAACTATTCTGCAAGGCCTCTGTCTCTACTTTAGATCCTTGTATAGTTTCTGGGTCACCCTAATTTCCAACACTAGGACATATGAAATACTGCCTTTTTATAGTTAAGTAGAACATCCCTTTTCTTTTTATCTGATAATAAAGTCCACCACATTTCTATAGGTAAAGCTATAATCTACATCTTCAGGACTGATAAGTATAATTTAGCATCTGGGAGAATTAAAGCCACAGAGGGAATGTTAATACAGAAAGGTCATGATATTTCTGGATCAACCTGTCTTAGACCTGGATGAAAATCAGTGTTTATCATCCAGAAGAGAAAAATACCCTAATTGTTGATGGGCCTAACTGACAAAACACAATAGAGGGAGTAAAAACTGCTCAACTTGTATCACGTTTGACAGCTGAACACAGAAGCTATTCCAAAGTGGGCCTTAATGGAAATTACAGAAAGCTGTCAAGGACAAAGAGACAAATGCCACATGCTAATGTCCAAAGACACATGCCCAAGTCCCACTGTGAGGCTCTACCAAGTGCTACTCTAATCCCTGAATTCCCTCCTACTTCGTTCTCAAAGTTCCTGCACAAACATGCCAGTTGTTAGCATTTAACAAGGCCCCAAATTAAGAATCAACTGAGAAGTAAGACAAAAGATAAGAAATCTGGAAACCAAAATATCATCTCATTCCTGGAGAAGCCAATAATGGAAAATGTGACTCAGATCTCTTGGCAAAGGGGCTTCCATATTCTGAACCTCAGAAACAGGCAGACTTACCCACCCAGTCATCAAAGGCTTCAGACCACCCCGGCTTCACCCACAGAGCAGAATCTTTATCACTAAAGTCATGGCGTGGTCAGGAGTGATTCAGAACATGAGCTCTGCAAGTTAGAGAAGAAGAGGAGAGGAAGTGACTGGTTGGCACATGATGCTCTCTCTAAACCAATGAATCGGATTGTTACTGGTTGGCACATGATGCTCTCTCTAAACCAATGAATCAGATTGTTACTTCTTCTGCTCCAGGATAGAGTTAGTGGGAGATGGGGAGAAGCAGGAGTCTTGCGGTAATGGAGCTCTTTAGGAGAAAAATCTGGAACCTCTTAATGGTAAGAAAAAAAGTGAAAGTCACACAGTGTTTAAAAAACAAAATATTGGTTGGGTGCGGTGGCTCATGCCTGTAATCCTGGCGCTTGGGGAGGCCGACGTGGGCAGATCACCTGAGGTCAGGAGTTCAAGACCAGCCTGGCCAACATGGCGAAACTCCGTCTCTACTAAAAATATAAAAATTAGCCGGGCGTGGTGGTGGGCGCCTGTAATCCCAGCTACTCGGGAGGCTGAGATAGGAGAATCGTTTGAATCCAGGAGGCAGAGGTTGCAGTGAGCCAAGATTGTGCTACTGCACTCCAGTCTGGGTGACAGAGTGAGACTCTATCTCAAAACAACAACAACAACAACAAAAAAAAACAGAAAAACAAAACAAAACAAAAAATTAATTCCAACAGAAATAATTTTAAAATTTAAGAAAAATAAAATTTAAGTGATGGAAATAAAGGCTAAAATTAGTCATTATATATACCTAAAGAGGAGAAAAAATGGATAAAATTCCAATAAAATGACTTAAAATAAAAGATAACAGTAGATAAGCTATAAAAATAAAATATAAAATTGAAATTTAGGTAGTTAGGTAAAAGAGAACAGAGGGAAAAAATGCTGGAATCAAACTTGGAATGATTATATAACCACAACAGCAAATGGAAAATTCTAAATTCCCAGGAAGAATTTGATTGGCCTTCTCTGGTTTGGCTGCATGTCCTTGGTCCAATTAGCTGTGGCCAGTGGGGTAGGGCCACAATGTACAATGTGACTGATAGGTTCCGTCTACAGTGGGCAAAGTAGAAGTTACATGCAGGGCAGACACTACAAAAAGGTAAATATGACAGAATGATAAAGTAGTACAGAAATAGCATGGCCTTTAGAGCACAGTTCTGATATTCGTCAAGTTGCTTAACATCTCTAAGCCTCAATTTCTTCACCTGCAAATAGAAACATTATAACCTGACTTACAGTGTTAGTAGGTATATTAAACAAGAAAATATGTATAAAGTAAATGACACAGCTGCTCTGGGAATGTGCTGTCTTCTTCTTATTTTTTTCTTTTTAGACAGAGTCTTGCTCTGTTGCCCAGGCTGGAGTGCAGTAGCATGATCTCAGCTCACTGCAACCTCCACCTCCCGGGTTCAAGCAATTCTCTGCCTCAGCCTCCCAAGTAGCTGGGATTACAGGCGTGTGCCACCATGCCCAGCTAATTTTTGTATTTTTAGTAGAGACGGGGTTTCACCATCTTGAACTCCTGACCTCGTGATCCACCCGCCTTGGCCTCCCAAAGTGCTGGGATTACAGGCATAAGCCACCGCACCTGGCCTGGTGCTCTCTTCTTATGGAAGCGAACATAACAAATACTTCCTTCAGGTGGAGTGGGAGATGAAAAGCAGCTCCTAAAAGGAGCACTTCAGGCCTGAATCACTCCAAGTCCAAAGGATCCCAGGGTTCCTTGGTCCCACAGCAATCCCAGAAGTTGGAACAACTGTTGCTTGCACACCACCATGGCTGGTTAATTTTTAACTTTTTTGTAGGGATGGGATCTCACAATATTGCCCAGCCTGGTTTCAAAGTCCTGGCCTCCCAAGGAGCCTTAACATCCCAGATATTTTATTCCTAGACCCCTGCCCTTGGCTTACCTCTGAAGCAGAGAGGAATCTTTAGGTCAAAGGCCCAGTAATTCAGCATCTTAAAACACTAGTGCTTCTTTCTACTAGACCCACTTCACCGTACTTGTCCTCAATCAGTCCCCTGCCTCTATGCTCTGACATCTCTTTAATGGTCCTGCTTCTGCCCTCTGCAACTCACCTTGATTTAATATTTGTCCCCGTTAGCTCATCTCTTGTTGTTTCTCATATAAATAGGTTTTTATCCCCGCTTCCTGCTCTTCGTGCTTTCACCTTCGTCAAGTAGGATCACACTCTCCCCAATCAGCCCCTTGAGCTGAACCCTGGTGTTGCTCATCGGTCAGATCTGTAGCTAGCCCTGCTCAGTGCCGTAGGGAGGGATTTGAACAAAATCCAGTTATACACTGGGGCCAGGCATGGTCTCATAAAGACAGACACTGCATGACTCTACTGGGACCCAATCTATTTGTCTCTATAGTAAAACGAGAAAGGAGAATTGGAGAAGGGGGTGCAAAGGTGAGGGATTGCATACCAATTTGAAGCTAAGCAGTGCCCATACTGATGGTCAAACACATCTGGCAACATATGTAGAGTTGGAAAATGTGCCCGTCAAGAGCCTATTTGGCCTGTAATCCCAGCACTTTGGGAGGCCAAGGTGGGCGGATCACCTGAGGTCAGGAGACCAGCCTGGCCAACATGGTGAAACTGCATCTCCACTAAAAATACAAAAAATTAGCCAGGTGTGGTGGTGGGCACCTGTAATCCCAGTTACTCGGGAGGCTGAGGCAGAAGAATCGTTTGAACCCAGGAGGCGGAGGTTGCAGTGAGCCAAGACTGTGCCATTGCACTCCAGCCTGGGTGACAAGATCGAAACTCCATCTCAAAAAAAAAAAAAAAAGCCTATTTGTTTGAGGGACAGGAACCTCAGAAGAAAATATATCCTCAAGGAAGGGGAAGCCAGACAGACAAGCTTTATGGGAGAATAGCTAATGGTTATTCATATTAGAACTGTGATACATTCATGTCCCTACTTCTTTACCCTTTACCATGCAATGCTGAAAAACCCTCCCACTCCGATGCTGGGCCCAGCCTGTGAGATGGTAGCAGGCTGGATGTAAACAGGGACTTGAGTAAACTTTTTGACCTTTCCACCTGTGCTTTTGTTAGCTCTGCCTTCGCTTTGAGACCATGCCCAGGCTAGCCTGCTGGAGGGAGAATGTGGAGCAGAACTGATTCACCCCAGCCAACCTCCAGACCTGTGCAGCTCCAACCAACGCCAGCTATCCCCCAGTCCTGTGAATGAGGCCTGAAGAGCTACCCAGACTACATCACCAACTGCAGACTTGTGAGCTCAGTAAATATGTATTATGTTAAGTCACTGATTTGGGGGTGGCTTTTTACACAGCATTATGTGCCAATACATAATTGAAACAGTAGCACAATCTTAGGAGAGAAACAGTAGCACAATCTTATTAAGGTATGGTGATATCTACCAACCGTATTCATTTTCTGGTCTAGCTTCTATCTGGACTCATACTTGAAACCTATATTAAGGATGTTTTTAAGGCAGAACCAATAGAATTATTGGTTATTAGTCTGGGGGAAATAGCAGAGGATAAGCAAACTTGCTTTGGGATCCCATCTCCAGGAAGCAATGCAGGCAGCAGGAGGGGCGTTCTGCACTTTCCAACAGAATATGGTGTTGCTTTGGTGTGTCAAAGTCTCCATTGCCTCAGGTGCAATGCCTGTGGGCACCAGTCCATGCCCAACAGAAGGGAGAGGAGGCCAGTAGCAGAGGCAATGCCAGAAGAAGTGACGTGCAAGGGTATAATGGAATTAGGAGTAGTAGAGCCGGGTGAAGGGAAGACAGTGGCTACTGCCATGTTGCAACTGGCCCAATTTTTCCCTGAGCATGTGTGAGACACTAACTGGGTGCAGACTCTGTAGAGACAACATCCTGCCCTACAGCTGAGGCCAGAAGCCAGGGAAGAAGCACTGTACATACAAACACTTTCATTTACAGTCACTGCCAGGTCATGATCCTTGTATCTCCTCCTTGGCAGGTATCTGTCAACAGACACAAGTCTCATTTCAATTCCATGTCAGTAATCCGATGTAAATTGCTGAACCTTTTTGTTGTTTTTATCATTAGTTTAATCTATAGCTCCCAATAAACTTCACTTACTATTTATTAACCAAACAAGACAGCTCAGCATATCATGAGCATTGAGAATAGTCCCGCATTTCTCATGCCCCTTGGTAAATTTCTAATGTGACATCTAGAGAATGAATGCTGATGGAGGGTGGAAAAAGGCTGCTTTGTGAATATACATGAACAAACACATAGTGGGATGTAGTATAGCAGAAAGGCAAAGACCATGGGCATGAGAGGGAGACTGGGTTAGAATCCTAGCTCTGCCACTTGATTAACTGTATGACTGTGGACGTTACTCAGTGTTATGGCATTGCCGTTCCCTTATCTGAAAAACGGGCATAAGATCTGCCTCAGAGGATTGTTAATGAGAATTAAATGGGTTTATTCAGGCAAAATGTTTGGAAGAGCACCTAGCACATAAGAAGCCTACAAGAGTTAGGTATTATTATTATCATCATTATTTGGTTAAGACACTGAATGTACAACTGTTCTGGAGAAGTGGGGTGTGTGTGTGTGTGTGTGTGTGTGTGTGTGTGTGTGTGTGTGTGTGTATAGCTGGCTGGAGGGAAAGTATATTGTTGTGAATTTACTGATGTACCATGGAATCAGAAGACCAAGAAACCTGGCTTAAGTTACCTGATTTAGGTGATCAGTCTGGCTTCTGGGCATTTGTTACAAAGTCAATGGACAGCAGTGCATTTCCAAGTGACGTGGGTGAACACTTAAGTGTGCAGTGAGGTACAGCAGACAATCTGATTTCAAACTCTGCCTCTGCCACAACAGGGATGCCTCTTTTCATAGCACTTCACAGATACTGTGATTTTTAGAAAGGTTTGTAAAATCTTTGAAGGTTTGTGATAACCCTATTTTTATCTGCGTTATTTTTCCAATGGCACGTGCTTTCTGTCTGTCACACTTTGGTAATTCTTACAATGTATTAAACTTTTTCATTACCATATAGGTTATGGTAATCTGTGATCAGTGATCTTTGATGTTACTATTCTGTTTTGGGGCGCCACTAACCATGCTTATATAAGATGGTGAACTTGACTGATCAATGTTGTGTGTGTTTTGACTGCTCCACTGCCTGGCCATCCCCCGCTCAGGCTTCCCCATTTCCTGAGATACAACAATATTGAAATTAGGCCAATTAGTAACCCTACAATGGCCTCTAAATGTTCAAGTGAAAGAAGAGTCACAGGTCTCTCACTTTAAATCAGAAGCTAGAAATGATTAAGCTTAGTGAGGAAGGCTTTTTGAAAGCCAGGGTCGGTTGAAAGCCCTCTTGCATCAGTTAGCTAAGTCGTGAATGCAAAGGAAAAGTCCTTGAAGGAAATTAAAAGTGCTGCTCCAGTGAATACACGAATGATAAGAAAGCGAAGCAGATTTCTTGCTGATATGAAGAAAGTTTGAGTGGTCTGATGAACAACCAGCTGCATTACCTGAAGCCAAAGCCTAACCCAGAGTTGAGAGCGGTGAGAAAGCTGCGTAAGAAAAGTCTGAGGCTAGTAAGAAAAGGGGTGGGTTCATGAGGTTTAAGAAGCCACTCCCATAACATAAACGTGCAAGGTGAAGCAGCAGGTGCTGATGGAGAAGTAAGTTACCTAGAAGATCTAGCTAAGATTATTGATGAAGTTGGATACAATAAACAACAGGTTTTCAATGTAGGCTACAGCCTTACATTGGAAGATGTCATCTGGGACTTTCCTAGTTAGAGAAGTCAATCTCTGGCTTCAAAGCTTCTAAGGATGGATTAACTTACCTGTTAGGCATTAATACAGCTTAAGTTGAAGCCAATGCGCACTGACCATTCCAAAAATTTTAGGGTCCTTAAGAATGATGCTAAATCTGCTCTGCTTGTGCTCTATAAATGGAACAAAGTCTGGATGACAGTATATCTGTGTATAGCATGGCTTTCTAAATATTTTAAGCCTACTGTTGAGATCTCTTGTTCAGAGAAAAAGATTCCTTTCACAATATTTCTGCTAACAATGCACCTCGTCATCCAGGAGCTCTGATAGAGATATGCAAGGAGATGAATGTTGTTTTCACACCTACTAAAATAACATCCATTCTTCAGCCCACAGATTAAGAAGTAATTTCTATTTTCAAGTCTATTACTCAAGAAATACATCTTGTAAGGCTACAGCTACCATAGATAGTGATTCTGTTGATGGATCTGGGCAAAGTAAAGTGAAAATCTTCTGGAAAGGACTCAGTATTCTAGTACCTTTAAGAACATTTGTGATTCATGGGACGAAGTCAAAATAACAACATTAACAGGAGTTTAGAAGAAGTGGATTTCAACCCTCTTGGATGACTTTGAAGGGTTTAAGACTTCGGTGGAGAAAGTAATTGCAGATGTGGTGGAAATAACAGGTGAACTAGAAGTGGAGACTGAAGATGTGACTGAATTCCTGCAACCTCATAAAAAAGCTTGAACAGATGAGGAATTGCTTCTTACAGATGAACAGAGAAAGTGATTTCTTGAGATAGAATCTACTCTTGGTGAAGATGCTGTGAACATTATTGTAATGGCAACAAAGGATTTAGAATATTATGTACACTTAATCGATAAAGCAGTGGTAGGATGAGAGGACTGACTCAAATTTTGTAAGAAGTTGTATGTAAAATGCTGTCAACATTGCATGTGACAGAGAAATCCTTTGTGAAAGGAAGAGTCAACCCATACAGCAAACTTCAGTGTTGTCTTATTTTAAGAAATTGCCAGACACTCCAACCTTCAGCAACCCCACCCTGATCAGTCAGTGGCCATCAATATCAAGACCTTCCAGCAGCACAAATATTACCACTTGCTGAGGGGTCAGATAATCATTAGCATTTTTTAGTAGTAAAGTATTTTTAAATTAAGGTGTGTATTTTGGTTTCTTAAGACATATGCTTCTACACATTTAATAGACTACAGCATAGTGTAAACACAACTCTTCTTCTTTTTAAGTTCCAGGGTACATGTGCAGGATGTGCAAGTTTGTTACATAGGTAATGTGTGCCACTATGATTTGCTGCACCTATCAACCCATCACCTAGGTATTAAGCACGACACACATTAGCTATTTTTCCTGATGCTCTCCCTCCTCCCCTCCCCCAGCAACAGGCCCCAGTATGTGTTGTTCGCCTCCTTGTGTCTATGTGTAAACACAACTTTTCTATACACTGGGAAACCCCCAAAATTTGTGTGACTTGTTTTACTGCAATATTTGCTTTATTGCAGTAAGTAGCCTGGAACAGAACCTGCAATATCTCTGAGGTGTGCCTGTATGTGGTCGTTTGATCCTAGGTAAGTCAGTCAATGAGCCTCCTTCTTTTCAAATGGGAAATAATACCTGCCCCTTCCCATAATAGGATTGTAGACTCCAGTGGGCCAAAGCATGTGACAAGTGGGTACTGTAGGCAAGGCCAGGCACTGGTTCACTGAGCCTAAGAGGATGTTATTGGGGACTCAACCAACTCTTGACCATACTACTTCCTGAGCATCCATAACACAACTTGCTCAAAAAACCTATCCAAAATGTGGCAGCAGCAGAAGCTTGATTTGGGGTCTTCCATAAATAAACTTGAAGGTAGGCAGAAGGGCTTTCCATCCCCCAACTGGAAGAAGGATGAGTGTCATGTTTGAATCAGGTGGAAAGTGAAGGCTCCCATCAGGAGGCATCATCTAAGCATCCGCGCTGTGACACTTTGGTTGGCCATGGGGTGTCAGTTTGCAGCTGGAAGACTTAAAAATCAACAATTCAACTTAAAAGTAACCAAGGCCTTTTGCCAACACAGTGTGTCATGTTTATTGGGCTATTCACAGGTAAGCTTAAAATACAATGAAGAAAAAAGACCAGATGTCATCAGGAATGTCGAGAAACAAAATATTTAGCATTTCTTAGTTTCAAATGTTACCATTTCATTGCAGCTGAGGAATACAGGCCATTCATTGACATAACTGCAATGGGTGAGACTTATTTTTAGTAACAGGAAGCATATACGTTTAACCAATGACTTTTAGCACAAGAAGCAAAAAAGAAAACAATATTTTCATGTAGCAAAGACAAGAAAATCATTTATACAAACTAAAGTGATACAAAATACATTATAAAGAGAACACACATACAAAAGTCATTAAGTTGGTCAAATAGCAAAGGATGTCACAGAACACCACACTGAGAGCACATTGGTGTGAATTCATTTCAGTTATGAAAGTATGTCCAGAGTGTGTTACACATTTACTGAGGTAAAGGCACGATCACTTCAACATAATTAATGGGGAAGAATCCGGATTCCCCGTGTATCATTCCTTCATACCAGTTTTCATCTATTTGATTGGTTAATGTAATGATGTCCCCTTCTTTAAATCCTAATTCTCCTTGGTTTTCTGGCTCAAAGTCATAGAGACCACGACAGCAGGGCTGGTCCATGGGAATGTTAGAACCTGTCCGCATGATATGGAGACAAAAAGTACAAGTTAACATGATAGATTATCCATGGGAAATTGGAAATGTGGAAAAACTTAGACCCTTAACAGCAGGTCCTGCTTCCTTCCCACAACAAGGCCAGCTCCACCCAGCTCACGGGTGCTGTTTGTGGTCTCTGGCTGCCTCAGCTCTCCCAGTTGCCTGCGCTGACCCCATAAGCCCAGTGTCTGTCTTTTCAATACTCCCAGGCAGAGAAGTCATGCCCAGCCCATCTCCCAAAAGCAGTCACTCAGCTCCAACTGAAGTCCTAAGGGAGGGACAGAGGAATCACAAGGCCCACCTCCTTCTCTCTGGGAGCTTACAGTTTCTTTGTGGGGATTGGAAAATACATGAGAAACTTTTATTAATCTGTTTTTGAGACAGAGTGTTGCTCTGTCGCCCAGGTTGGAGTGCAATGGTGTGATCCTGGCTTACTGTAACCTCTGGCTCCCAGGTTCAAGCAATTCTTGTGCCTTAGCCTCCCAAGCAGCTGGGACTACAGGTGTGCTCCACCACGCCTGGCTAATTTTTATATTTTTAGTACAGGTGGGGTTTCACCATATTGGACAGGCTGGTCTCGAACTCCTGGCCTTAAGTGATCTGCTCACCTCGACCTCCCAAAGTATTGGGATTACAGGCGTGATCCACTGTGCATGGCCAAAATACTTTTAGAGAACAAATATGAAGTGTATATCACTCATGGTTCAGGAGCTCTGGGGAGAGGGTAGCAGGGAAGACCTTGGTGGTCAGCAAGATCTTCCTAGTGCATGGGCAGGATGAGGGCTGGGAGGAGAGAAACCAGGACAAGAAAGGCAAGAATATTTACAGACAAGAATATTTACTGACGTCTATTCCCAGAATAACATCAAAAACAATTTTTTTCAAAACAAAAGCATGCTAATTGTAAAGAAAAAATACATGTATGCAAAATGGAGAAAGAAAAATCAAAGCTGTAACCCATTACCCCAGAGATAACTGGGCTAGCTTTCAGATTCCAGATGTCTTCATGATTACATTTGTGCATATATTTACATATAGTTGTTTTCATAAAAGATTCTTCTTGTACCCACTAGAGTGAATATATTCCAATTTTACTTTTAGTTACTGACTAGCTGTCAACTCTAACAATGTAACATTTCTTCAACTAGTCTCCTGTTGTTGGACATTTATGGTTCTTCCTTCTTTTCCTTCCTTCTCTTCTTTTCATCTCTTCTTTTCCTTCCTTCCTTCCTTCCTTCCTTCCTTCCTTCCTTCCTTCCTTCTTTCCTTCCTTCTCCCTCCCTGTTTTTCTCGACTTCTCTTCCTTTTGCTTCATTTCTTTCTGTTGTCTCTTTTATTCCCCCTTGGCTTTTATAGACAATTCTTTGGGGAAAAAAAAAAAAAAAAAGCTTACACATAAATATCCACAAATGTGCACAACTAGTTCCTGAGGATAAATTCCAAGAAAAGGATTTCATGGTCATAGAACATGAATTTGTTCTAAAATATCTGACATTTAGTGTCAATTTATTTTTCTATTAGGGTTGGTGCAAAAGCAATCACAGTTTTTGCCATTACTTTCCATGGCAAAACCCATAATTACTTTTGCACCGACCTGATATCACTATTTTTCTTAAAATGTTTAGAAGTCCCTTTATACTACACATATTTACCCTTTATCTGTCATTTCTGGTACAAACATTATTCCCAACTTATCATCTCTTCTTTTTTTTTTTTTTCTCATTTTGTTTTTGAAGTTTGTGCTGGCGGTAGGGCAGAGAAGGGTTTCTGTTTTGTTGTGGCATGAATGCACAAATTTAAGAGTATAAACAGTCAAACCGATCACACTTTCTATGCATGGTTTATTCTCCACAGTTCTATATAAATACTCAACTAAATTTTATTCTAGTATTTTTATTTATTTATTTTTCATGTCAGAACTTTTACTTTTATAATCCGTTTGGATTTTGGCAAAAAGAGGTAAATATCTATTATATTTAATAATGCTTATGCAGTTATACCAACATAATTAAATAATCCATATTTTCTCCAGTGATTTCAAGTATTGCCTTTATCTTTATCACATATTTAATTATCATGGGACTTAGATCTATTTTTGGATTTTCTATTTTGTCCCACTGACTCATTTTGGTAACAGTACCATATCGTTTTAAATACTGTAGCTTTATAATAAATGTTAATAGGCCAGGTGTGGTAGCTCAACACCTGTAATCCCAGCACTTTGGGAGGCCAAGGTGGGCAGTTCACTTGAGGCCAGGAGTTTGAGACCAGCCTGGCCAACATGGTGAAACCCCATCTCTAAAAATACAAAAGTTAGTCAGGTGTGGTCGCACATGTCTGTAATCCCAGCTACTCAGGAGGCTGAGGCGGGAGGATCGCTTGAACCTGGGAGGTGGAGGTTGCAGTGAGCCAAGATCACACCACTACACTCCAGCCTGGGTGACAGAGTGAGACTCCATTTCAAAAATAAAAATAAATAAATAAATAAATAAAATGTTAATAACTAGTAAAACTAGTTCATAGTCATTACTCTTCTATTTCAATATTTCCTTGCTATTCTCATGAATTCATTTAACTAGGTATATTTTAGTATTAATGTGACACGTTTCTCTCACAAAAATCTCACTTCAGTTTTGACTGGTTCATATTTTTTTTCTTTGAGTATTAATAAGATTAATCTTAGGAGTTTTTTTTCTTAATAAATGACTTTTGCCATCCTATTTGATGATTTCCATTTTTATTTCCTTTTTCTGTTATAAGACATTTTCCTCCCTCTAGACTTCAAGTGAGAATTGAAGCAAGTTCTGCCAGAAATTATGTTCTTTCCCCACCGAAGGTATGGGGTATTTCTATGGCTGTCCAAATGAGATGCCCCTTTGTCCTGGGGAGAGGTAGAGAGGTGACAGCATTGTGGGAGGAGGAAGAGAAGGATTGGGGCAGTGGAGATTCCTGGTGTGAGAAGGATTATAATATGTTTGTTTAGACAGCTTGAAATTCACAGAGTAGCGCCTGTTTCTCTAAGGAACAGGGCACTCTAAGGAGCCTTCATCAGCGAAGTTCCACAGGTTGTACCAAGGTGGCTTCCTGTTGCCTTCCTGTGGCAGTGGTTCTCAACTTGGTGGCACACTAAACAGCCCACTGCCCAGGTTGAACCCCAAACCAATGAAATCAGAAGCTCCGGCATCAGTATTGTTTGTTTCTCAGGTCCTTCCAATGTCCAGGGGAGGTTGACAACTACCAGTGAAATGATCCTCCCCCCTCCTTCCCCCAGGGAAGCGTTAAAGGTTAAAGAGACTCAGCTGGCGAGGAAAGGGAAGCGGGTAATGGTAGGGGAGCTCTTCTTCCTCTTCAGGGAGGCAGCTCCTGTCCCGGGTGATGACTTTGAAACTCTGGACCCACCTGCAATATAACCTCTACGATTTACATGATGTTTCTCGCCTCTGGATGGCTCCTTCCATGACAGACCCCACCCCTCCCTAAGTCTGTGTATTCCTCTTGTCATAATGATGAAAGCTAGGGGGTAGAAGGCTGTAAATATCGGGGTTTAGTTCACTATTTTGAATTTGAACAGAACAACATTCAACGATTTCAGACAAAGCATAGGGGAATAGAGGGCTTACAATACAGAACTTTTCATTTTCCTTGGGTCATGGAGTACATATATGGGTGGGTAGGCGGGGGCTGAGCACTGAAAAGGGCAACCTGAGCCGTGAGTCAAAGTCTACTTTATTAATGTATACTGTTTTAATGTGGATTATAAAAATAATTCTTATTCTTTTAGCATTTCTCCCACTACTAGTTTTTAACAGTCAGGTACTAGTTTTTAACAGAGTCAGGTACTAGCTTTTACCAGTCAGGTGCCAAACCACATGGTAGTCTTGGGAAACATTTCCTTGAACACAGAATGTTAATGCTAGAATGGAATCTGGCAGTCCTCCATGAGTCCTCCCCTTTTCAAATAGAAGCCATCAATGCCTCTGAGAAGTCACAATGGCCTGGCCCCAGGGCTACTGGCTGAGCCAGAAACAGGAGGGCTCCAGACCCCAGGCCATCACCTACCTTGCTCCATGTCACCTCCTACATGATACTACTAAGGGTTGCCAAGACATTTCATAGGCTGATACACTGACTACAGGGCTAATGATTGATTGATTGATTGATTGATTGATAGATACATTTATATATTTCCCTCCTATTTACTCTATAAGCCACCTGTAATGACCAAAATGCTTAGTGGCAGGCATACACTTGTCCAAGGGTATGTACCACCTCCATGTGTAAACCAGGCCACCACCTCCATGTGTAAACCTGTTCTTGCTGCACACACACACAGAACAAATCATGGAAAAGCTGCATTACTCACTTCTCATGTCATTCATTCTTGGCAAGGAACCACTGCCACATTGCCCACGTTGGTATTCTGAGAGCTGGAAAGAGACCAGCACTCCTATCACACTCCATCAGCACCTAAACCCAAGACAGGGCATCTCTCCAGAGACCACTGAGTAGAAAGACCCTGTTCGAGAGCCCCCTGACTCACGCAGTGCAAGTGCACCTGGCCCACCAGCCACCACTGGGCTGCCTAAAACACTAAGAGCAATTGGCACTTGCTAAGTAGGCACTTGGTAAATCCACCCCAACCAGAGCTCAGACTGGCTGCCCTGAATTACACAATGCAGCCAGATGATATTCTGAAGTATCAATGCCTTTTTCATTCTGGGTCATTTCTGTTGCTTGGGGCCCTCAACCCAAGGAGCTGGGGCTTGCCTCTTTTACTTGAGGAGGAGGGTAGAACCCAGACACGAACAAAGCAGTCAATGTTTGGCTTTTAAGTTCCCAAATAAAGCCATTGTGACACATTGTGAAAGCCAAGGCTTTTAGGCTTTCATGCTAGAGCCAGGTAGGCTTTTATAAGATTTAAGAGCGAGAGCGATAGAGAGAGAGAGGGAGAGAGAGAGAGAAACTCCTGGGTTCCAAGGAACTAGAGTTTGAAGAACTCAGAGCCTAGCATTTTGATTACAAGCCATGGAGAAGGAGGAGCTGTTTCCTGCCATCCAGAGAAGAGATACAAGCTCTTCCTGGAGGCAAGGAAGGAGGGAAGGGGCCTGGAGTAAGAAGAGGATGAGCAAGAAAATTGAAATGCTCCTTGGATGCCACCCTGGGGAAGGGGGTCTTAGACTCCACTTTCCACAGAAATTCTGGGAGAAGGCAGCTATCAAAGTTCTCTGGACTAACACGGGGGCTGCAGCCCAGTGGAAACCATGTGGTGTCACTAAGTAGAGATGGGGCCTGAAGGCTGGTGGCTCCCTGTGAACTGTGAACAAATTCCCTCAAGTTCCCATCAGGAATGCTGAGGGGTCACTGAGGCCAGAGGCAGCCTGGGGGCAGTGACACAGGGTTCCAAATGCAGAGATTCAGCAACCCAGAGAAGAAGGCCTGGGCCACAGATGTCAGCAGGTCCTGACCCAGGCCCAAGGCCTCCTGTGACGAGTCACCTCAGCTGTGGAAGCGAGCTTCCCTACCTGACACCATGACGTTCTGTAAACTCCCCACACATCCAGGCAACATCTTAGGACTGGATCAGTGGGAGGAGAGAACCTTCAAGAAAAACCAACAGCCCTGATAGGGAATTTCTACTCTGAATTGACTGTTTAAATCCGGAATCGCCTAAGTCATAAATGGATAGTCTATGCTTTCTATTGGAAGAGACTGAGCTACCTTGAAATGGCAAGGTTGTGCTTTTTTCCACCATTAGAAGAAATGGAAAAAAGATTTTAAAACTTTTTTTTTTTTGGTCAACAGCAGAAATGGAAAAAAGATTAAGTTGTTTCCGCCATTGGTCTACATAGAGGCTTGCAAGCAAGTTCAGTTCAGCTAAAGAGAAATTAAGTTGCTGCCCGCCTGAGTGACAGTGTGTGAATTTTCCCTTGACACAAAAGTCACCACGGATGGAGCCCCAGAGTCCAGGCAGAATGGGCTGGATTTCCTCAATGGAGGCTTTCCAACTCTGTTAGATATGAGCCTCTCCAAGAGAGCTGAATGCCTGGTTTCCCACCATCAGAAGCCAGCACCTCAGCTGAAAACATCTCGTAAGAAAAGACTGGTCCTAACCAGTGTCCCATCTTTGTTGACAACCCCCTCCCGTTTCCCCTGTGGTCCTGCAACTGGCAGTTCCTCATCTACCTCCACCTCCTTGCTCTCTCGCATTCAGTAGCTGGCACCTGGAATCACTGGGCATAGTTGCACAGGAGCTCCCAGCTGGCTGCTGTGGATCTGGGTGCCCTTGAACAGGCGGCTGAAACCCCTGACTCTGGGCCGTCCAGTGAGACGGCTTCAGCCAGGGTTGCCCTCCCCAAGTGGCCCTGTGTTTATTTTCTCTTACTCCTGAGACCTGACTTCAACCAAACGTGACAGCCAAGGTGGGAAAACACAGTCTTCCTTGTTAAAGTATTGAAACAAAGATTATTTTAACAGAGAAAAGGGAGTGTCCCTGTTAAATATTTATTATTCAAGCTGTGTTCCACACCATTAGGAAAGAGAGAGAGAGAGAGAGACCCTACCCCAAGAGTTTAAGATGGCTGGTCAGTAAGTACTGTATCAGTAACACAGTAGGAGGTAGGAAAACCACGTTCCCCCTGAAATAAACTGAACTTCCCTCTTGGCATTAATATGGTTCAGTCCCTCTTATTTTAACAGCAGGAAAATTATTTGCAGTTCCCCTCCCCCAACTCCACTAATTTTATATATATATATATATGTATACACATACACACACATATATATATACACACACACACATATATATATACACATATATATATTTTGGCTAAAGTCTCTGCTGCTGCAAAGGGTTACTTGCATATGCAGAAATGCTGAGCACATTTTATTAAGGTAGAGGCAGTCCAGTCTACAATTCCTCAGCCCCACTCAGCTACAGGGATGAAATAATAACTCCCAGGTGTTAGTGTTTACCATGTGCCAGGACAATATTCTAAGTGCCTCAGAGATATTAGTGGATTTATGGATTTAATTCCCAGAGAAATTCTATGAGTAGGTACCACTATTTCCCCCAATATGAGGGATGGAGAAATTGAGGCATACAAATTTAACACAATTAAGCCACAGCACTGAGACTTGACCGCAGGCCAGGTCGAGAGTCCGTGTTCTTGATCGCTATGCCATATACCGCTCTGAAAATGGTTAGTTTGTGGTTTTATCCCTACTCCTTTTCTTCCTGTTTTCCTTTTTTTTTTGAGACTGTCTTGCTCTGTCCCTCAAGCTGCAGTACAGTGCCCTGCTATCGGCCTGCAGCCTTGGCTTCCTGGGCTCAAGCAATCCTTCCGCCTTAGCCTCCTAAGTACCTGGGACTACAGGCACCATCATGCCCGGATAATTTTGGTATTTTCTATAGAGGTGGGGTCTCACTATGTTACCCAGGCTGGTCTCAAACTCCAGGGCTTAAGTGATCCTCCTGCTTTGGCCTCCTGCTTTGGCCTGGAATTACAGGCATGAGCTACCATGCCCGGCCTTCTCCCACACCATTTCTGAGCCAACTCCAGCCAATGGGGTGGCCCATCAGCTGGGCTTGGAATGAGCCTTTGGGTCCTCAGTTTGGCATACCTCAGGATGCTCCCAGGCCTTAGAAGGATCTCTAAGAGCATTATCTACCTAAATCCTACCCAGATCCCCAGGAAGCTCTGTCCATGTCCCACCTAGCCTTGCCTGGCACACCTGAAAGATAACTTCCGGGCACTTAGTCTCTATCCCGTCTTCTTCAGCCTGAGTTCCAGCTTCAAAGTGAGCAGCTCAGGCTTCAGTTAAAAATAGTGCCCACTCCAGGTGGTGAATTAGACCCCAGAGTAGAGATGGCATCAGAAGGGACTGGCATGTCTGCAGCCTGGCCTTCTCATCTTCTCTCTCTCTCCCATATGCCAGGATCTGGAAGCCTGTTCTCCAGGGCTCCATCTCTAACCCTGACTTTAAGGGAGGTGAAGGTGGAAGGACTGGTCAGTGGTGAAAGGGGCGTCCTTTTCTCTGTTGCACTAAAAATCACATTTCTTTTGTGGAACTTGGGTTCTTTTCAGACCACCGAAGGAGCCCACTGTGCTCACTCCTTTGCTGGCCTTGACTGTGGGGACTTCGTGATCTGGAAGCATTCAGTCAGAGCATCCCCACTGAAAGGCAAACTATGACCCACCCCTACAGCTATTTTGAGGGGCAAAGGGGATGGAGAGAGAAGTAATTCACACAATGTTGTCAACATAAGTTGCTGTTGGGGTACAAGGTATGGAGTCTCCCAGAAGCTACTGACCTGAGAAGGGCTCTTTGTCTTTTAGTAAATCCCCCAGACTGTTGTGTCTTTTGAGTGTTTTTGTTCCTGCTTTTTATAGTTTTTCTCTTGCCTCCCTTGTAGTCTGGCTGCGACCTGTCACTTTTTTCTGCCGTCAATGGCCTTCCCGAAGCAGTCCCTTGGGCCTTCCTAATCTGCTGGTTCCAGTCTGCTGTAGGCTGGGAAATCAGATAACCGATTATATAACATTAACAGTGCTGCATTGTGGGCTCTTACTCTGTACCGAGTCCCTTGCCCAGTACCCCTAATTCACAAGATCCAATTTAATCCTTAGAATAATCCTGTGAGGTACTAATGAGAATCCGCATTCGTTAGATGACGAAATTGAGACCCAAAGGTATGAACTGAGACAGGATTCAGGCTTCCCTCTGACTCCAAAGCCCACTTTGCAGTAAGGCAGATAACACCCCTTTGGGCTGGGTGGGCTCATATTCTGCTCACTTTCTGGCCTGAAGTCAGGAAATCCAAACGTGTTCCCTTATTACTTACACCAGTTGTAGAGCAGCTGAGGAACAGACAGGAAGGTGGGGGGAGTCCACACCCCAGTCAGGAATGGGACCCCAAGGATCCTGGAAGCTTCGGTTCCAGAACCCAGGTGACCTTGAGGTTTGACTGTGCCTGCGCCATCCGACTAGAGAGTTCATCTCCTACCATGGTGGGGTAGAAACCTGATTTGGAACTTTCAGGTTTATTTCTGGTTCCAATTCATTTTCAAACTCTCACCGAGTGTTTGAAAGCATGGAGCCAGGAGCATGGAGCCAGGCACCATGCTCAATCTGTGAGATACCATCTCCTCTGAGTTCAAACAAGCATATCTGATTCAAACTCCCTTCAAAAAGTTTCTTTTTTCCCATTTATAATCTCAAATTGTTATGGCAGAATTCGTTTGAAGCACATACTTTCTCGCTATCTAACCCAGACACAACACTGGTGTCCAATGCTGATAGATACCACCGACACTATCTAATTCAACATCTCTAACATATTGTTTTTCTCCATGGGTAAGAGCGCACTGGACAGAAGCTTCAGATCTCTGCATCTTTGCTGTGGATTAGGTCATCTTTGGGTCCTGATTTCCTTATCTGGAAATTTTAAGTGTTGGTCTATGATGGTTAAGTTGTACATTACCAAGTAAAATCTAGTAAAAGTCTATGAACTGTCTTTCTAGAAATAACAGCCCTGTATTTATCCACAGGAGATGTGATTTATTGAAATTACTTGTCAATGGAACTCAAGCTTAACCATTAAAATCTGTAAAAATAAGCATGTGTGCTTTATGTTAAGCTTAATGCCAATCTTCCTCAATTTACTCGAGTTATATTAGATGGGTTTAATTAATAAAGTTGTGCCCTCCTCCACCTTACAAAACCATGACTTGTCTACTGAGATGACGTTTGCAGATAAATATCAAAACCTGCGGCCCATTTATTTATCAAAATAAACTTTCTGGCAGGTGACCCCTCTATTGCAACCAGATCCAATGTGTGTGGTTTGTTTTTGTTGCTGTTGTTGTTGTTCGTATTATTATTATTATTATTTTGCCACTCTGAGTTCTGGAAAACGAAAATGCAAACAGCAGCCTTCATTAGAGTTGGCTTTCTGGCCACTGGCATAGTGATCAGCTTGCAGATGATACCTTGTCTGGCCTGCTCCTTGCTTTTTCACAATGTGGATTAGTTGCCAACATCTAAAAGTCAGGAGATGTCACATAAACATAGGGTTTCTGGTTAATCTTGAAAAATCAGAAAGGCTAGCTATGATGGGCCCACATTCTCAGGCAAGGGGCACTTGTCGTAGACTATTGGCCATCCCCTTCAGAAAGAACAAGTGTTTTCTAGTTGTTGAAGGACACACCTCTCTCTGTCATGATCCTGACTTGGAAGCTTAGAGTCAGCCATTTATCACCAGCCTTGCACTACCTTCTTACACTTTTCCTATGTCTCTCATTCCTATAATCTGGCATTCAAGTTTGCACTTGCAGCCACATCCACTGGACAACTCTAAGGGGTGTCATTCATATGGGTTCAGAGTCCCCTGGATGGTGCAACACCATTGTTGCCTGGTTTGTAATCCCAGGAAACAACTGACTTCTACTGTATTTTTTAAAACAAGTACATAAATTAATATTTAGATGATGGTATTTTACATTTTAGCTTACAGATCAAATGTATCATTATAAAGTATATGTTAAGATTTTAAAATATGCAGCATCGGAGATCATTTCAGCAAAGTCAAAATTCCCACAACTAAGTCGGAATTTATGTCTTATGGCTTTTCAAAACTCTTTTTACAGGCTATTTAGAATAATTGCAGAAAATCATTCCCTGCAGTGAGGAAAACTTCCCTCTCTAAATCTCCCTTCAGACTGGAAAATAACAGAGAGACTCTTCCTGTTCACCTCACCAATGGCTACTGATCAGCAATAATAATCATATTTCAACTTTAATTTTTAAAATATTTTTTAAAATATAGAAAATATTAAATGTTCAACCTATCCACGTTTCAAATTATTAAGAATGCTAAGTACTCACAAAAGATAACTACTGCAGCCACAGAATTTAGAGCTAGAAAGTACCTTGGAATGTATTAAGTCCAATCACTTCCTCTAGGAACAAGTTCAAATCGGTCTAGAGGTGCTAAGAAACTCACCCCAACTGATACAACTAAGAAGTTCCAGAATCTGAACTACAACATGGGACTCCTGTTTCCTTATTTTTTTCTCTCTTGCCAATAACTCTGACTCTGAAGCACTACTGATAATACCTAGAAATGGATCTGGGGGGAAGGCTGTTAGTGGGGAAGGGGAATAGAAGAAAAGAGGTGGAAGGAAAGAAATGTAAGAAACAACCTGCTGACCGAACAATCACCATTGTCACTGCTCTGTGAAATTTTAATTTCCTCTACGGAAATGTAGGTTAAAAAAATTGCATATATTTCTATTTGTAAAGTGTTCATCTTCTTTAATTTTCAAACTTCATATTTCACTTTTGAATAAATATTTATTTTCTAATGTAATCCTAGACATTTTGTGCCAATGAGGGGAATGACTTAGGCTCTAGAAATTACTTCCAAGCTGCCTTAGAAGTGTCAAGAAATTTATAAAAGTCTCTTTTATACCTAAAGAGAGTTAGAATGTCTTAATACAAGCCATTTGGGAAATTTATTTCACCTCACTCTGATGTGCCTGTAGCACACATTTGGAATGCATATTTGTTAACTAATTTCAGTCTCCTATATGTTTAAAGCAGGTCCCAGTTTGGGGCATATTAACCCTTAGTTGTGATTACACAAAGTGGTACCCCTTTTAAGAGTTTCGGCAAGAAGAAAAAAAAAAACTTCATAAAAAATGAGTTGATAAAATACACTTTGTCCTTAGTCTTTAAATATATAATTCAGGAGGTGACAACCTGGGACCCAATAAAAATTCCTCACGGGCGGGGAAGATACTTGAGCCTGGGTCACAAGTTCCTACACTATTTTCTTCAAAATCAGTGGTTTTCTGGGAGCTACACAGGCACACGTTTCAGCTCAAGGATGTTTCTTGGCCTCCTTTTCTCTTTGGGGACAGAGGGGCAGCTTACACTGATGAAACAGCATGACCCTACACTCGTGGGCTTGAACAGGCAGTCGTTTCTCCCAGCCAGAACCTAGAGTTGGATTTTGTCTGCAATCTGTCATTTCAAGATGTGATTCTCCCCCTTCTCCATTTTGGCTCACTTTACTCATTCTCTTAACTACCTAGCAATGATATTATCAAAGATTCCATCTCAGTCCCACGATGCATTCTGCTTAATTGACTTACGTTCTCTCATCTCTCTCTTTTTTTCTTTAGAAAGAAGAAATGATGAAGAAAATGTTCTTGGAATTCATTTCTGGCAGTCTCATGAGCTTTGCTTTCATTTGTTAGAGAAATGCTTGACATTTTTCCTTTACTTTATAAACACTATGTGCAAATCATTCAGAATCCTAATGGAAAGTAATTTCCCATTAATGCAGGCTATAAATGTCATTTTCTTTTGAAACTGTGCCTCAAAAACAAACAGTACAGGACCCCCTTTACACTCACAAATTCCACCCACAAATCAAGGAAGCCCAGTGCTAGGTGTGTGAGATGGGGACTTGAAGCTACCACCGAGGGAAACTTAGAAGAGGCAGCCTGGGACAGGCACAGGCAAAAGACACACAGTGGCACACAGTAGTTTGCTGCAGTGGAGCATATGGGACACTGAGCCTTCTTAAAAGCCAGCTTCTGCACATCTGTGATCTCTGTCTGAACATCGCCCTTCTAGGAACTTAATCAGTCTAGGGACCCAGCTACTGGCCAAGAAAGAGGGGACAAAGTACTGACATGCGCGACCTCAGTGAGGAAGCCAAAGACCTCACTGTCTTCTGTTTTTCCCTTCCAAGTCAGATGCATTCAGCGGGCTCCCTTTGCAACCACTTGCTGACCACAGATTCCCCATAATCATGAATCTTGGAAATAAATCATTCCCAATGCTCCTGGCCGTTTCATAACATTCCCTAGTATTCTTTCTTAATGACATAACATGAAATATCTATAAGGTAAAATGCCCAGCTCTGCTACTTCCTGGCTCTCTGATCTTGAGAAGATCTCACTTAACCTCTCAGAGCCTCTACTTACTCATCTGTAAAATGGGGACTAAAAATAGTACTAGAGATGTATACAAAGTATTTATACAATATCTAACCCATAGTAAGTAGTCAATAAGTGTAGTTGCTATTATCACTATCTTATTATTTATTACTTTTTTTAATTTTCACTTCCTTGGAGTACTGTTATGAGGATGAAATGAGTTATGTCTATGTCTACACAGCACCAAATACTAACTCCTGGCATACTGTTGGCACTCAAATGCTAGGTCCCTATGACCTTAAGGGATACTTTAATTCAAATACCTTTTCATTTTTATAAGGCTTAACACACTCTACACTGCCAGTCTGTGAGCTCAATCAAAGGAAAGTTGAGCTCTCTCTTTGGTGGCAAATGAGAGAATGGTGTCTTGGGAGCTTGACCTGAGGTCCTATCTCTAAGAACTACTCGGTTGCAAGCTGGAAAGGTAGAGACAATGGGGCAAGGACTGAGCCCTGGGGTTCTGGGTTCTCCTTTCCTACCGGCATTGAAGGAGGGAAGCTGAGG